ACAAAATTATGATTCTTTTGTAGCACTTCTGCTACATTCTTCCAAGAAACTGCCTTAAGGCTACCCCCTTCTCGTCCATTTACGGAGATCTCATGCAAACAAGAGTCGATAAATGTTTTCACCACATTTTTTTTCCAGTTAACCCTAGGATTTTTTGATTAGATTCGCCAAAATTTGTCATTATATCTAAAACATTAACCATCATATCATGATTAGTTCAAAGGTGCATATCTTGTGATCCAAATAATTAAAGGTTATCGGCTTCAAATTGAGGAATGAAAAATGGTCATCTTAGCAAACAACGACATGATGGTTATAAGACCTCCTATACTAACGGTATATACAAACTCCATCAAACATAATAAGCATGAAACATAGTTTAGACATAGCATAATAATTCAGGCCGTTGACCCTTTGGTAGGTATTTTGAACTTGCTTATGTTTTCCTATTAGGTTTTTCACCAAAACTAGCTGGGGTCCTTAGGAGTTATATAATACATATATTTCTCTTGGTGACTCTAGTTGACGTGTGTGTGTGCGTTATAGATGAACTATTGTTAGGTTATATAAGACATGTGATTTGACACCCTATACTTAGATTTAAAAAGAATTTCTGGCAAAAATTCGGCATGACCCGTACGAAAAGTCGTGTTTTGCCATTTTTTTTACCTGTAAACATTTGCAAAAGCAATGATTGCAAAATAACTGATCATACAAAAGCTATGATTACTAACTAGTCTTTATAAAGACGACTATTTACAAGGTATAAAACTTTCATATTCTTTCGAAATTACATTTTCCCAAACTAGATTAAGCTTCCAAAGTCCCAAGCATTGCATCATCCTATGAACTTACCTGCTAGCCTTATAATAACCAAGAATGTTGCTAGCACAATCACTTGAACCAGTTCCTGAGATGCACGTCGACAAACAAAACAAATCAGGCTACATGCCTGGTGAATTCAAGAGTTTTCACAATACAATATTTCAAGTAATTTATACTATCAAACAAAAATGCATGACTTACATATGCTTGATGTGATGTGTCAATTAAATGTTAAGTTCAACCAAATCATTATAAGTAAGCAGYCAATCAATATTTACAAAGTTCTATGAATACCACACAGTATGGGGGTGACCCATAACAACCGGAATCAGTGGAGGAGCACTACTCAGCAGTCCACTTATCCGTTAGGCTAATTTCGGTATAATCACYATTKHGCAATGTGTCCACCTGACACTATACCTATTAGCCGAGTACCTGGCGCATATATATCCATGCACGGTACTCCAATACATTACCAATGGGAGCAACCCATTTACTGTAAAGG